AACATAAAACAACGTGATTTGGATTGCATGCTGTGTAGCTTAAGTCTTAGAAACTAACAAAAATTACCCCTCGCACCCCCTTCTCTCTCCCCGTTGAATTTCATCTAAAAAGTTTCAAGTCGGCTTATTGAGTTATCCTTACCTTGTTCCAAAATCCTGGAAATATCTCTTTTCCGTTCATATCCTTCATTTGTCCTTTGTCATATCCGAGCGCTTTAAATTCGAAAAACTAAAAAGGAGTTCATAAAATATGAGTTGAACGAACTAAAAACAATTAACCTTAGCTATGATATTTTCAGAGAAAAGGCTGCTTACGAACCTGGCACCATAGCTGATCAAACGAAGCAACAGGTGTAACTAGACCATATGCAATTTCTTCTCCTTTGCGCTCAGCTTCATAGGTGCCAAATAGTCTAAATTAAGGAGGCATAGGTGGAAACTGAGAAAAAATTGTGTTACCTAGAGATAATTGATGTTAATGCACACGATAAAGCAAATTCGGAATCAATCGTGAAAGATGACCAATGACTGTTTAGTATGTACTCGATATTCTTATAAAGTTCAAAGCATACCTATCCCAGATAATCAAGGTACCACCATAATTTCTGTCAATACAGTATGGATTCCTGCCATGATGTACACGATGACTTGAAGGTGTATTGAAAAAGTACTCTAATGGGCCCAAATAAGGAACAGCCTAAATCAGTAGTTCTGAAATGGCTAATTTTTACAATACTTCATAACAGGAAGTTCTCCAGCACAAAAAGACGTCTCCCAAAAACTCGTGACAGAGTTTCATTACCAGAAAATTTTCAAAGTTTTTGGTGATTTAACTTTTCGTAACCTACGACCTAGCAATAGAAATCTCTACTTTTTCCTTTAAAGTAGGTAGAATAAAAACTTACGCTAGCATGCAGCCAAAATTGATAAATGAGATTTAAATAGCGATGCACTAGGAAGACATTTGGTGGAATGACAGTGGCTTGCATTAAATCGAACAACATAGTGGCAACATCCTGCAAGTAAAAATTTAACTGCGATTGTGATGGGAGGTGGTTTCTACTACGTCAACGTTTTTTTCGCAGCCA